TGGAATTAATTGGCATAGCATGCCATTTTGTAAGAATTTTTGCTCTTACGTCCTTCTTTTGCCTGATATATCTTTGAAACAATAATTCTGATATCCTAATTTTTTCCACTTGAAGATTTTTTTTTTTCAGCTTGTAGAATAGCTATCTGCAGTTTCTAAGTAGCAATATTTTGATTTTGAATATCCTTTCTGTCAATTTACTTCTGCTGATTGGAGATTAAATCGTTTTGAGTACCATGACTGATTTGTGGTTTTAAGGAGTTCTCGAAATCATGTGAAAATGGAAGCTTTATAAGGGCAATATGAGGTATATCTTCTTATGGATTACTCTTTGACTATTGAGAAAACCGAGGTACAGAAATTATTCTGAGGCTCAAAGAGAGGGAAGTTCTTTATGTGTCTGTTTTTGGGCTGTGGCTTTTAAAAAATTGGTGCAATGGCTTATCCACAATTTTTCAGTTAAACACGTATTTCTAAAAATATAGAACTGTAGTCTCATAGTTAGTTTCAAAGTTGATACAGTGCTTAAGCCCAAAGGTATTCTGGGGCCTATGCATTCCTTTTGCCTTAGTTCAAAGGAAAAGCATAGCATATCCAGCACCTCACTACTGTTCCAGAAACATCTCAAGAGAGGAAGAAGCCAGAGTAAAAGGCATGGCGTTAATTTTTTTGAAAGAGTGAGCATAGGAGGCTCAGACAAATGATATTATGTGAGATTAAAGCTAAACTTTTGACCATTCCCCAGTCAGCCTGCTTTTTCACTGCTGTTGTGAAATAGGAAGACTCTGCTGGAAATGATAAGGTAGCCGACTCTCTACTCTAAACAGAGCGCCCCCTCCTATGGAAGTGAGGATGGAGATAGGAAGGTGATAGGAGAAAACAGGAGGAAACAAAAAACATTTTCTCAGTGAGTCCCCCTTTTTTTCTGTTTGTTTCATCACTGATATGGTTTGGAAACTATGCTTAAATATATTTTGTCTGGATATTCAAATTTCTGATAAACTGCACAGTACAACACATGCTTCTTGCCATTTATTTCATCAGCTTAGCTTAGATCTTTGCTGCTTAAAGCGTTGTGCATGGACCGGCTGCATTGGCGTCAGCACCCAGGAACTTGTTAGAAATGCAAAACCTCATGTCTTACTCCAGACCTCCTGAATTAGAATCTGCATTTTAACAAAATCCAGGTGCTTTACATATGAGTTAAAGTTTGAAAAGTGCTGGCTTGGATAACACTTTCTGTTTTTTAACTGAGGTTTCCTGGAGCAGAGACTGCCCTCCTATTCTGAGGATTTTCTGGGAAGCTGGTCTGTTTGGTGCCAGTGATCCAGAACTAGAGCAACTGACCTCATGAACCTAATGAGTAGACTGCACAGAAAGATAAAGTTCTACATACTCTTCAATATTACGTATTTTTTAAAACATAAATAGATGCAGTTTGTCTTTCATTAAGCAAACTTGACAAAACTCCAACTTACAAAACATAAAATAGGGAAGTGATTATTCACGTTGTAAGAGAACCTCTGCTTTACAGATAAATTTTCCAAATTATTTTTAAAAATTGCCTCGGGGTATATGTGGAATAGAATTTGACTCAAATATTACTTCACAGTCCAGTTTTTAAGATGGCACATAACACATAAATTGAGACGTGATTGTATAGATAGTAGTTTTGTGCACATTCGTTATTAATCAATTTCTGAAAGAGATCTTAACCAGCCTTTTCATTTCTTTTTCCCATTTCATCCTAATTTCTCTAAGTCTACACTCTGGAATCACTTCTTTTTATTCATCTACCAACCTATATAACTCTATTGCTTCAACCCTTATGAAGCCAAAGACCTCAATGAAATTGAATTATCAGAGGAGATGCCTGAAGATGAATTCAAGAAAAATGACCCCTCAGCCTGATGAATAGTAATAGTGGTATTAACACTTGATTTGAGCTTGTAATGTCCTCTCTGGCAGTAAAACCCTCCCTAGGAAAAGCAGATAGATTCCAGCAGAACACTGAGCAACAGCACAAATATATTTCTTGGGCCCCAAAATATTATCTGTAACTGGTAAACCACATTGAAATAGCTGCTCTGATCACCAACTCTTCTGGATTCGCATGGGTCTTGTTCATATCTCTAACATGGTATTTATATTTCTATAGTGCCATCTGTGTTTTTGACCATTTCTTCTAGAGAATTTGGAAGTCAAGGACTTTGTTTTTCTCATTGTTATGCATCCAGTGTCTAGCATCTAATAGTATTTCACACAAGCTTGTTGGATGAAAGTCTTTGCAATCTACTGCACAATTACTGATACTTTTAGAAAGGAGCAAGAATTTGACCTCTGAGCAAGGCAGCTACAAAAACCTGGTGAAACACTGATTTGTTATCTCTTCCCACAGAGGCAGGAGTAATGCAGTTCATCTAAAATATCAGATAATAAAAATTAGTATTTGGCTTAGAAATTGTAGCTATATTTGAATAACTATGAAACACTAAAGTCGAAGAAGAAAACTATGGCTGCTTCACTGAAAAGCTTTGACTAACCAGTTACATCTCAAACTGTCGTTTATCTCAGAGGCTAGCTATGCTTGTTCAGAGTCACTTCTCAGGTCAATACAAAGAACTCAGCTCTGCTGGAAACCTTGCTTGTTCACACAGGCATATAAGGTTTTTAAAAATAGGCCTTCTTTTCTAGGCTTTACTTAGAAAGAATCACATCTTTGTCATCTAAGTAAATGCAAAGAGTCCTCCCATACAGATTAAAAATCCTGCCAAGGTAATATATTAGGAGGTGGGTGATTTTCTGGAGTAACATTCTTTATGCAGTTGGAGCTGTTCCCTGCTGGCACTAGGTTCCTAATTGCTGTAGTCATTTGGGCCCCCTGTGTTCAGATATCTGTCCCCCATGCTATCTGGAGTTAGCCCTTACTGCAGAAATTTGTGAAGATATATTAGTTCATAATGATTGAACTTATACTTTGGAGTGAAAGTCACACAAGTTTTCTACGCACTTAAATACACACAACAAATCAAAAGCAGGGTTCTGGTAGAAAGTTCCTCAGTAAGAAAATGATGAGTGAATGCAAAGGGAAGAGGCCCTATTCTTGTCTGCTCTGGGCATCTCTTTTTCCATTATATAAAATATGATTACTCTTTGAAGAATTTCTTGTATTTTTTCCCCTTATACTCGTATATCCAGAGATTTCAGTTGCTTCCATCATGAAACCCAGTGGCAGAAAAACAAAAGAATATCTTTTACTTATACTGTATGCCTAATGAAGCTTATTACCCCCAGAAGGCTCTGAAAACTGTTATTATTATTATCTCAAGAATGGGATGCCAGCTGTTTGTTCTGATAGCTTTTTGATTCTCAATCCAATTGCTTTCAGGGCTTTGGCCATTTTCCCTTGTATTTTCCATGATCTAACCTTAACTTTCCCTACTATTGACAGTAGAAGTCACTTTCTGATCAGTGTTAGAACTAAAAATAGATATTCTGTTTGATAGACATATGGGCACCAGGTGCTTTTCATGCACCACTATTAAATACATCTCTCCCGTCTTGCAACAGTCTAGTAGTGGTTCTCTTTAAAAAATTCCATACCCTATATCTCATGGGGTTTTGGAAGGGCAGATACAGAATAAGATAAAATATCATCAGGTTAAATCTTTGAGGATAATTGAGTTGGCATAGGCAATGGTCCAGGGGCACAGATTTCTCATGAAAGGAAGAGAATAGAAAGTCAAGGCTGTCTCATTAGTGATGCTTGGAATTACATGACAAGAAATCCTCCCTCTTCTTCCACCTTGGGAAGTGGCTTACACTTGGAGATGTGAAACTTGTTTGGAACATTAACTTTACTCAAGTTTAAACATTTTTTTTAATTAAAAACATTTTTTAGAGATAGAGTTTTGCTACATTGCCCAGGCTGGTCTCAAACTCCTAGGCTCACGTAGTCCTCCTGACTTAGCCTCCCAAGCAGCTGGGGTTACGATGTGTGCCGAGTTTTTTTTTTTTTTTTTATTTACGAACGAATTTACTGTCACATTTAATTGAGCATTTCANCTCCTGACTTAGCCTCCCAAGCAGCTGGGGTTACTTTTTTTTTTTTTTTTTTAAATACGAATTTACTGTCACATTTAATTGAGCATTTCAGAAGTGAAACTAAAAATACCATTGACTGATTCGTTGCAATGTCAGTCTCCTTTGTGCTTGGATGACACATGGATAGTGTATGAGAATATGTGCTTTAGTTTAACACCAGGAAGGGAAGGAGGAGCTTTTGAGACAAGTGCCTCAGTCCTTGGTATTTTGTCTCTGGAGCTTTGCAAGCTGCCTGGTTTCTTGGATACCTGCATAATGTAGTACATCTAGGGACATTCTTTGTGGCTGTTGGAAGTGTGTCCAAAATGTTATGAAATATAGCTCAAGCAGTTGACAAGTAATAAAAACAGTTGATCTCTTATCTTTTATGTGCTGTTTTAATGTTCTAAGCACTCTCTTGAAGGAGATAGGAAGAAAAGCTATTGATTTTTGCTCTGTTTGGGGTGGGGTAGGCTTTAGTTGTATTGACAGATGCATGTCGCCAGGGAGTTTGTGGGAGGAAAAAATACATCCTTCCTTGGGTCAGACAGGCATTTTCTCCAGAGGGTTCCAACTAAGAGTGAGCATGGAAGGATTTCTCAGGTTTGTGTTTTACAATACAAAGGAATACCACCACTTAGCTGAGAATGCTGGTTGTTATGATTTGTTTTACTTAAAGGATTTAGAGTTTTTGGGATTATCCAGTAACTTTCTATCATCAATCCCAATTATCTAAAGATTAGAACGTCTTGCCATAGGCTGGAGTAATAGGGGAAAGCTGTCTAATAATGCTCCTTGACATCTACCAGCCAGTCTAAAATTATTGGATTATAATTGTTGGTCTAATGTTCAAATTGTTTCCAGTCCAGAAGCTGGGTGGAGGGCATGTACTTCTCAGACACATTTATAAGAGAAAAAAAATCAGGCAGTTAGGCCGTCCCGCGGTTCTGACTCTTGCTTCAACACTGTTTGGACGGAACAGATCCTGGGGACTTTTTCTTCCAGCCTCTGACCGCCCTCCAGTTTCCTCTCCACTTGCAACCTCCAGGACCATCTTCTCGGCCATCTCCTGCTTCTGGGAACCTGCTGACACAGTTTTTGTGCTTAGCTCCTTTTTGCCGACCAACCATGAGCGCCCACGTTCATCAGAATTCTTCCACCGACGTGGAGGCAGCAGTGAACCGCCTGGTCTATGTGTACCTGCAGGCCTCCCACGCCTACCTCTCTCTGGCCTACTGTTTCGACCGTGATGATGTGGCTCTGGAAGGCGTGAGCCACTTATTCCGCAAACTGGCCGAGGAGAAGCGCGAGGCCTGAAGATGCAAAACCAGCGGGGCGGCCAAGCCCTCTTTCAGGGCATCAGGAAGCCGGCTCAAGATGAGTGGGGTAAAACCCTGAACGCCATGGAAGCCGCCATGGCCCTGGAGAAAAATCTGAACCAGGCTCTTTTGGATCTTCATGCCCTGGGTTCTGCCCGCACGGACCCCCATCTCTGTGACTTCCTGGAGAGTTCCTAGATGAGGAAGTGAAAATCATCAAGAAGATGGATGACCACCTGACCAACCTCCGCAGGCTGGCCGGCCCGCAGGCTGGGCTGGGCGAGTATCTCTTTGAAAGGCTCACTTTCAAGCACGACCAGGAGCCTACTGAGCCCAGCGACTTCTGAAGCGCCCTTGCAAAATAACAGGGCTTCTGCTAAGCCTCTCCCTCCAGCCACTAGGCAGCTTTCTAACTACCCTAACAAATCTTGGACCAAATGGAAATAAAGCTATTTGAAGAAAAAAAAAATCAAACTATAGCATATTGAAGGAAATATACAGCCAGATTTGACCCAAGAAAAAGTAGACGGGGAGACAAAGTTCAACTTCAGCAACTCAGGTATTCTCAATGGATATTAATTTTTCTTTTCTGTACTCCCCAGCTGAGGCAGGAATGCATAATTGTTTTCTTTTTACCTTAACAATAAGATTTGAATACTTTTCATGACCATCAATATACGTATTCGTCAATAATTTAAATGGTTGCTTAGTATTCTATTCTATCTAGTGTTCTATAGTATTCTATTGCATTTTCTCTTCCTTGTGTTAGGGATACAGTGTTTATAGGCTCTCCACATATTCCTATCAAAATCAGCTTTAAGAAAATTCTCTGATTATAGATAATAGGTTGATCTTGTTAATTCATTCAACAGACAGTTGTGGAGCCAAGTACACTGGTGTTGAGGAGGGAGTAGAGGCAAGAGAGAAATGTATTAGAGGAATGGATAGGAATGAGATAAAACATATCCTCAATGCTTATGTGCTACTTTTTCTAGAAAAATGTATTTTTTTTAATCAAATATGGCTCCATGGTCTTGTTTTCTCTTAAAGAAATTTCAGTCTTGGTTATAGGGGAAGGGTAGGCTTGTGGGAATAGAGAGGCTTTTCCAATCACATGTTACTTTTGAGAGTGAGGCAACTACATGGTAGTGGAATAGATACGTAGCTGCATACTTATTTGTTAAGAAAGGGGCTCTTTTTTCCAAATGCCATCCATATGGTTTAAAAATTACAAATATAAAAACTCATTGTAGAAAACTAAAAANAAAAAAAAAAAAAAAAAAAGATAGAAGAGAATGAAGATCAGCTCTAATTGTGACATCCAGAGAAAAACGTTTTTAACGTTTTCAGATAGATTATGCCTTTTTACAAAAATGAGACTATAAGTCTTCTTGTTTTTATAAAAAGGCAGAATCTTGGAGACACAGAAATAGCAGCATTAAAAGAGATTATAGTGCTAAATGTTCCCATCAAGAAGAAAGACCTCAAATTAACAAACTGACAAAACTGACATTAAACAGGGAGGAACTAGAAAAACAAAAACAAAACAACTCCAAAGCTAGCAGAAGAAAAGAAATAATTAAAATTAGAGCTGAACTGAATGAAATTGAGACATGAAAAACCATACAAATATCAACAAAACCAAAAGTTGGTTGTTTGAAAGAACAAATAAGATTTATAGACCACTAGCGAGAGTAATTAAAAAAAATCGAGAAGATCCAAATAAACACACTCAGGAATGACAAAGAGGGCATTACTATCGACCCCACAGAAATAGGAAAAAAACCCTCAGGGACTATTACAAGCACCTCTATGCATACAAACCAGAAAACCGAGAAGAAATGGATAAATTCCTGGAAACATACTACCCCACCAAGATTGAACCAGGAAGAAATAGAAACCCCAAACAGACCAATACCAAGTTTCAAAATGGAATCAGTAATAAATAGCCCTCCAACCGGAAAAAGCCCTGGATCAGACAGATTCACAGCCAACTTCTATAAGATATGTAAAGAAGAGCTGGTACCAATCCTATTGAAACTATTACAAAAAGATGAGAAGGAGAGACTCCTCTGTAACTCCTTCTATGAGTCCAGCATCATCCTGATACCAAAACTTGGCAGAGACACAACAGAAAAAGGAAACTTCAGGCCAATATCTCTGAAATTATTTGCAAGCATCCTCAACAAAATACTAGCAAACTTAATCCAGCAGCACATCAAAAAGTGAATCCCTCACAATCAAGTTGACTTTATCCCTGGGATGTAAGGTTTGTTCAACATATGCAAATCAATAAGTGTGATTCATCACATAAACAGAACTAAAAACAAAAAGCACATGATCTTCACAATAGATGCAGAGAAAGCTTTGGATAAAACTTAACATCCCTTCATGATAAAACTTCCAACAAACTAGGTATGACGGAACCTCAAAATAATAAGGGCCATCTATGACAAACTCATAGCCAACATCTTACTTATTGGGCAAAATGTGGAAGCACTCCCCTTGAGAACCAGAGAAAGATAAGGATGGTCTTTTCATTCCTGTTTAACAACGTGGTACTGGAAATCCTAGCCAGAGGAATCAGGAAATAAAAAGCATTCAATAGGTACAGAGGAAATCATACAACCTTTCTTTACAAATGGTATGATTTTATACCTTGAAAACCTTATAGTCTCTGCCCAAAAGTTCCTAGATCTGATAAGCAACTTTAGCAAAGTTTCAGGATAAAAAAATCAGTGTATTAAAATTAGCAACATTTCTATACAACAATAATGTCCAAGCTGAGTGCCAAATCAAGAATGTAATGCCACTCACAAAAGACACACAGATAGACAGACACCAGACACACACACACACACACACACACACACACACACACAAAATACTGCCTTGGAATACAGCTAACCAGGAAGGTGAAAGGTTGAAAGGTCTCTTTAATGAGAATTACAAAACACGGCTCAGAGAAATCAGAGATGACACAGACAAATGGAGAAACATTCCATGCTCATGGTTAGGAAGACTCAATATCATTAAAATGGCCATACAGACCAAAGGAATGTACAGATTCAATGCTATTTCTATCAAACTACCAATGACATTTTTCACAGAATTGGGAAAAAAATAACTATTCTAAAATTCATGTGGAATCAAAAAAGAGCCTGAATAGCTAAAGCAATCCTAAGCAAGAAGAACAAAGCTGGAGGCATCACTCTATCAGACTTCAAACTATGCAAGGCTACAGTAACCAAAACAGCATGGTGCTGGTGCAAAACAGACACAAAGACCAGTGGAACAGAAGAGAGAACCCAGAAATAAGGCCACACACAACCATCTGATCCTTGACAAAGTAGACAAAAACAAACAATGAGAAAAGGACTCCCTATTCAATAAATGGTGCTAGGATAACTGGCTAGCCATATGCAGAAGATTTAAACTGGACCCCCTCATTTAACCATATACAAAAATAAAGTCAAGATGGATTAAAGACTTACATGTGAAACCTAAAACTATAAAAACCTACAGAAACAGAATGGGAGGAAATATTTGCAAACTATGCATCTGACAAAAGTCTACTATCTGGAATCTATAAGCAACTTAAAAATAAACAACTGGATTAAAAATAAGCAAAGGATATGAACAGACACTTTTCAAAAGAAGACATACACTTGGCCAACAAGCATATGAAAAAAATGCTCAACATCACTAATCATTAAAGAAATAAAAATCAAAACCACAATGAGATACCACTTCATACCAGTCAGAATGACTATTATAAAAAAAAAAAAAAACAGTTGCTGGTGAGGTTGCAGAGAAAAGGAAATGATTATACACTGTTGGTGGGAATGTAATTAGTTCAGCCACTGTGGAAAGCAGTTTGGAGTTTTCTCAAATAAATTTAAACAGAACCACCATTAAACTAAGCAATCCTACTGCTTAGTATTATACCCAAGAGAATATAAATAATTCTATCATAAGCACACATGTATGTGTATGTTCATTGTAGTGCTATTCACAATAGCAAAGACATGGAACCAACCTAAATGGCCATCAATGGTTGACTGGAGAAAGAAAATGTTGTACATATACACCATGGAATACTACACAACCATAACAAGAAATGTCCCTTGCAGCGACATAGATGAAGCTAGAGGCTGTTATTTTAAGCAAATTAAGGCGGAAAGAAAACCAAATATGGCATGTTTTCCCTTATAAGTGGGGGGCAGACATTCAGTACACGTGGATGCAAAGAAGGGAATGACAGAAACCAGGGTTTTCTTGAGGGCAAAGTGTGGGAGGAGGGGTGAGGATCAAAAAATTACCTATTGGGTATTATGCTTATAACCTGGGTTACAAAATAAACTGTATACCAAACTTCCATGACACACAGTTTACCCACGTAAATCCTGAATGTGAATATGTACCCCCTGAACCTAAAATAAAAGCTGAGAAGAAAAAGAAAAGAAAAAATATACTATTTTGTTGCCTAATCGTTTTACCTTAATAATACATTCTCAGCATTTTTTTCTATGTCAATAAAACACACCTATCAATCCATGATTTCAATGGTTGCTTATTACTTTATTGTACATCTGTATATAACCAAACCCTAACTGATAAGCATTTATTTTACTCTAAATTACTTGCTTTTCTTTAAAATGCTTAGATGAGGCCGGGTGCGGTGGCTCATGCCTGTAATCCCAGCACTTTGGGAGGCCGAAGCAGGCGAATCACGAGGTCAGGAGATTGAGACCATCCTGGCCAACATGGTGAAACCCTGTCTCTACTAAAAATACAAAAAAATTAGCTGGGCATGGTGGCATGTGCCTGTAGTCCCAGCTACTTGGGAGGCTGAGGCAGGAGAATTGCTTGAACCTGGGAGGTGGAGGTTGC